TCCCTCCCTCCATCCATTCATCCACCCATTGTATCTATCTTTCTGTCTTTCATATCTAGAAATGTATCTACCTGCCTCTCTTTCATTTCTACTATCATATTTATGTATAATATCTATTGTATCTAGCTATCTTCTATATCTATAATATCTTTTTATCACTGTCATTCATATCTATGTCTGTCTCTCTATCTACATCAATCTATGCATTCATCCGTTATCTGTCTGTCATCTATCTATCTATCTATCTATCTATCTATCTATCTATCTATCTATCTATCTGTTTGTAGAATTTTCCTATTCATATCTATCTATCTATCCATCTTTCTATCCATCTATCATTCTATCATCTATCTATCTATCTATCTATATTATTCTATCATCTATCCATCATCTATCCATCCATCCTTATCTATATCTATCCATCCATCCATTTTCTTTCTTTCTTTCTTTCTTTCTTTCTTTCTTTCTTTCTTTCTTTCTTTCTTTCTTTCTTTCTTTCTTCTTTCTTATCTATATTATCATTCTATCTACCCATCATCTGTCTATCCATCATCTATCCATCCATATCATCTCTATATCTATCTATCCATCCATCCATTATCTTCCTGCCTGCCTGCCTGCCTGCCTGCCTGCCTGCCTGCCTGCCTGCCTATCTATCTATCTATCTATCTATCTATCTATCTATCTATCTATCTATCTATCTATCTATCTATCTATCTATCTATCTATCTATCTATCTATCTATCTATCTATCTATCTATCTGCCTATCTATCTATCTATCTATCTATCTATCTATCTATCTATCTATCTATCTATCTGCCTATCTATCTATCTATCTGCCTATCTATCTATCTGCCTATCTATCTATCTGCCTATCTATCTATCTATCTATCTATCTATCTATCTATCTATCTATCTGCCTATCTATCTATCTATCTATCTATCTATCTATCTATCTGCCTATCTATCTATCTGCCTATCTATCTATCTATCTTTGTCTCTCTATCTAGCTTTCTCTGTCGTTCATATCTAATTATTTATCATATCTCATTTCTATCTTTCTGTCGCTCTGTCTTTAATATCTAGCTATCATATCCAGCTATATTTTCTATCTATCGTGTCTATCATGTCTACAGGTAAATCCTCAACTTAGAACAGTATGTTTGGTGATCGTTCAAAGTTACAGCGGCAGTGAAAGAAATGACTGTTTTTCACACTTACAACCGTCGCAGCCTCCCCCGTGGTCACGTGATCAAAATTCAGAGGCTTAGCAGCTGACTCGTATTTATGACAGTTTGCAGTGTCCCAGGGTGTGTGTTTGTGTGTGTGTGTGTGTGTCACATGATCCCCTTTTGCGACCTTCTGACAAGCAAAAATCAATGGGGAAGCTGGATTCATTTAACAACCAGGTTACCGATTTAAATGCAATGATTCATTTAGCAACTGTGGGGGGCAAGGTCATAAAATGGGTCAAAATTCACTTAACAGGTGTCTCACTTAGCAACAGAAATTTTGGGCTCAGTTGTGCTAAGTTGAGGACTACCCAGTATTTTTCTATCTTTCCATCTTTCATATCCAGCTATATCTATCATATCTAGCTATCAAGCATCTCTCTCTCTCTCTCCCCCCCCCATCCCTCCCGCCCTCCCTCTTTTTTTCTCTCTCTCTATCTTCTTCCCTTCCTCTAGTTTAAAAATATCTTGTGGTTGCTATGATTTGATCAGGGAAAAAGAAGCTGGCATCAGATGTCCAAAGTTTTAAAAGTTCTAAGGTAGACTCTGAACACACGCTGAGAGCCATTATTGTCCCCAGCTTCCCCCATTCTGTGTGTGTGTTGTGTGTGTTTGTGTGTGTGTTCCCTGCTCTCAATTCCTCTCCCATTGACAACAGAGAGGATTGTGCAGTTTCTAAAGCTCTGGCCTTGTTCTGGGAACTAAGGACCTTTTTGTGATGCAAATGAAATTAACTCAGTCCTTGTTAGATTCTTTCTTTCTTTCTTTCTTTCTTTCTTTCTTTCTTTCTTTCTTTCTTTCTTTCTTTCTTTCTTTCTTTCTTTCTTTCTTTCTTTCTTTCTTTCTTTCTTTCTTTCTTTCTTTGCACCCTAATCCACTTTGGGGTGCAAGAGGGAGGGAATTGCAAACACGAACTACATAGAGGGGGATTTTGTTCCAGAAGAGGAAATGAGATTCTCTTCTTTTTAAGGACCTTTTTTATCCCCGACAAAAAAGAAACGATGAGAAATTGTCCAAGTGGGGTGACCTCTCTCATCGTCCACACACCAAAAATAGTGATTTTTATTATTTAAAAAGCTCCCAAACATATTCAAGGAAACAGTCAAGAATCAGGAAAAGTACTTTCCCTAAATGCAGTATATTATTTCATACGATTTGATATGATGTATATCATCTACTTCATTCACACACACACACACACACACACACACACTCGTATTGTATTGTATTGTATTATTATTTATCAAACTTGCATGCTGCTCATCTCACCAGAGATGATTCTAGACAGCTTGCAGATATTATAAATTGACAATTACCTGTTCTGCTGAAGTGGTGTGAGCCGGCTGAATCCCACACTGTACACACACACACACACACACACACACACACGCTACATCAATATACAACATAGCTTGGCAACTTTTTAGTATAAGTATATTTTTAGTAAAGTATTCTTATTTTAACCCTCCCGGTGATCGTATTTTATTCTTTTATTCATAATATATTGTATGCGTCTATCCATGGTATACATGAAATACACACACACACACACACACACACACACATTCATATACATCAATATACAATATATTGTATGTGTCTATGGTATACATGAAAAATACACACACAGAAACATATATATTGATATACATCAATATACAATATATTGTATGTGTCTATGGTCTACATGAAATACACACACACACGCACGCACGCATGCACACACACTTAGATAGATAGATAGATATACATCAATATATAATATATTGTATGTGTCTATGGTATACATGAAAAATACACACACACAAACATATATATATTGATATACATCAATATACAATATATTGTATGTGTCTGTCTATCTATGGTATACATGAAATATACACACACACACACACACACACACACAGAGAGAGAGAGAGAGAGTGAGTGAGTCCTGGACTTACGGACCACAACTGAGCACAAAATTTCTGTTGCTGAATTTTGCCCCATTTTATGACCTGGCTTGCCATGGTGGTTAACTGAATTCCTGCAGCTGTTCAGTTAGTCACACGGTTCTTAAGTGAATCCGGATTCCCCATTGATTGTGCTTGTCAGGAGGTCGCAAAAGCGGGTCACACGACCCCGGGACATGGCGACCGTCGTAAATATGAGCCAGCGGTCAATCGTCTTAATTTTTGCCATGTGACCCCGGGAGGGCTGCAACGGTCCTAAGTGTGAAAAACGGTCATGGGTCACGTTTTCCAAGGCTGTTGTAACTCTGAATGGTCACTAAACGAATTACTTAGTTATAAGTCGAGGACTACCTGTGTATCAAATTTAGAGACCGCCCATGTCACCCCCAGAGTGATTCTTGATGGCATAGGCAATTTAAAAAGTTTCTTCCTGAGAATTTCCAATGACAGGGACAGAATTACTTTCACTTTGAAATTCCTGCCTAGTTGGAACTTTCTGGTCAACTCCAGAACAGAAAAGTCCTGCTTTAACCACTACACCAGACTGTTTGACTGCTAAGAGTTGCCAGACGTAGTGTTTATTTAGATGTGCATTAGCTGTGTCTGGCTCTGTCCTACCAGCTCTTTCTCTCCCTTGCACTCAGAGCTGTTCTCTGTGCTTACGTGAATGCAGCTGTTCTAGTACCGCTTTGGTAAGACCATCCTTAGAATATTGCATCCAGTTTTGGACACCACGGTATCAAAAAGTTGTTGAGGCTCTGGAAAGAGTGCAGAGAAGAGCAACAAAGATGATTAGGAGGCTGGAGGCTAAAGCATATAAGGAACGGTTGCAAGGAATTGGGTATGTCTAGTTTAACGAAGAGAAGGACGAGGGGGACAGGATAGCAGCCTTCCAATATCTCAAGGGTTGCCCCAAAGAAGAGGGAGTCAAGCTATTCTCCAAAGCGCCTGAAGGCAGCAAGAAGCAACAGGTGGAAACTAACCAAGGAGAGAAGCAATCTGAAATTCCTAAGAGTGAGGACAATTAATAATGGAACAGCTTTGCCTCCAGATGTTTCTGGTGCTTCATCAGTGGAGGCTTTTAAGAAAAGACTACACAACCACATTGAAATGGCATAGGGTCTCCGGCTTGAGTGGGGGGGCTGGCCTAGAAGACCGCCAAAGTCCCTTCCAGCTCTTTTCTGTTTGACAACAATTAACCAGTGGAAGGACTTGCCTCCAGAAGTTGTGTGTGCTCTAACACCGGAACTCTTTAAGAAGAGAAGCAACCGATGGAAACTAATCAAGGAGAGAAGCAATGTAGAACTAAGGAGAAATTTCCTGACAGTGAAAACAATTAATCAGTGGAACAACCTGCCTCCAGAAGTGGTGAATGCGCCAATACTGGAGGTTTTTTTTAAAAAAGAGATTGGATGTCCATTTGTCTGGAATGGTATAGGGTCTCCTGCCTGAGCAGGAGGTTGGACTAGATGACCTCCAGGGTCCCTTCTAATTCTGTTCTTCTGTTCTCCAAAGCACCGGAAGGCAGGAGAAGAAGCAACGGATGGAAACTAATGAAGGAGAGAAGCGACCTAGAAGGAAGGAGAAACTTCCTAAAGGTAAGAACAATTAACCAATGGAACAACTTGCCTCCAGAAGTTGTGGGCGCGCCAGACATTTTCTTTCTTCCTTTAAAAGAGCTGTGCAGCAGTCCAGCCCCTTCACCACCCTGGCGTGTCCTGTGTGCCAGCAAATTGGTGCCAACCTGCTTTGGCATTCACCTGGTCACCAACCCACCCGGCCTCCCCCAAATGATAGAATGCTTTATCAAACTAAAAGCCATGTTGTTTTATTTCTCTCTCTTGACATGTTTTAATAAAACAGGGCATGAAAAATAGCTATATATTACAAATAGAGAAAGCTAGATATACACACAGCAGGCACACACCCCTGTGCCCTGGCTTCCCTTTGGGGATGGAGCGGGTGGAGGACAACGGGGAGTGTTTCCTTGATCTATTCATGGACAGAATCTATTTAACAATGGGAAAGAGTCAATAAGCTCCTTTAGATTCCTTTCAGTGGCTGGCCCTCCCTCCCTCCTTCTCCAAACGTGTCCGATTTCCATTAAAAAGCCACAAAGTGTAACTCTGAAGGGTTCCTAGGGACTAGAACCCCTCTGTTCTTTTGTTAAAAGATTCCCTTCTGTTGCTTTTATGTCTGGAAACTTGTTTCGTATTTCAAGGCATAGGCCTGGGTTGTGGGAGCAAAGGGAGGAAAAGCAGGAAAAACTGTATTGCACATTATTTTTTGTGGAAGAGACCATTTTAAGAAACCATCTTGCATGTAAAAGGCTTTTTTTAAAAATAATAATAATAATGAGGATCTGCTTTGGAAAGATTTCAGGGTGAATGCAGACTTCTGTTTCTCTCTGATCCGGTTGCTTCCCTAACGTTCTTTTTCAAGTTTTCTCTTTTCTTAAAAAAAAATAGTTCTACAAATACAGTACTTATATCTAAAGGGTTAGAAATCTAAAGCAAACCATATTCCAATATTTACAAGTCAGAACACCAAGTTTTTCAACCACAGAAGGCTGGCCAAACAATCAACAGAGGAAGGAAGGAAGGAAGGAAGGAAGGAAGGAAGGAAGGAAGGAAGGAAGGAAGGAAGGAAGGAAGGAGGAAGTTTTTTTATTAAAAGTTTTTCAAAGCATGTAAAAACTTGGAAGCTAAGAGAGGGGAGAGGGAGAGAAGGAAGGAGGAGGTTTTTTTAATAAAGTTTTTCAAAGCATGTAAGAACGTGAAAGCTAAAGAGAGAGGAGAGGGAGGGAAGAAGGAAGGAGAGGAAGGAAGGAAGATTTTTTTATTAAAGTTTTTCAAAGCATGTAAAAACGTGAAAGCTAAGAGAGAGGAGAGGGAGGGAAGAAGGAAGGAGAGGAAGGAAGGAAGGTTTTTTTAATAAAGTTTTTCAAAGCATGTAAAACTAGCAAAGAGAGGAGAGAGAAAAGAAAGAAAAAGAAAAAAGATAGATAGATAATAGATAATAGATAGATAGATAGATAGATGTGCTTATGTTTGTTTAACATTCGAGGCACTAATTTTTTCCCCCATCTCCTGATCTTGAATTTTAAGATTTCAACTCTCTTATTGCTGTTTGCTAAGACAACAGAGGTTCTAAAAAAGCATATTTCAAAAAAAAAAAAAAAGAAAGAAATAGTAGTCCTGAATGCTATGGTGATTGGGAATCTCTTTCTGTTGCTTTCCAAATATTCTGAGTCATATTATTAAGATCTTGTAGTCCACTCTGGTCACACACAGGTTGCAGGTTGCTCATACTTTGCATGATGAACTTTGGGCAAAGGCTGGGACTTTTTGTAAAGACCCCCACTTGCCCCCATGCCGGCGGATTTCCTCCCAGTCCTGTTCTTGATCCTCCGGCTACAAACCCCTTGCCAGGATTGCAGAGTTTTGGATGTCCAAATCCAGACCCCGCTGGTGATGCCCACCACCAGCAACATAAAGATTTTAACCATAAAGATCTCCACGGCTGGAACAGAGTCGCTCATGGTGCAGTCCAGATGCTTGGTGTGACTGTTGACCTTGCATTTTTGCCGGGTGGCCAAAATCTTCCAGTACTCCATGTTCAACCTTTCGTAAAAGTAGCAAGCGATGACACAAGTGGCCGGCACAGTATACAAGACGGAGAAGACACCGATTCTCACCATGAGCTTCTCCAGCTTGTCAGTGTTTTCCCCGCCCGTTTTCATCACCCTCCTGATGTGGAAGAGGGCCACAAAGCCCAGAAGGATGAAGGAGGTCCCCAGAACAAGATAGCAAGCCAAAGGGACCAGCACAAAGCCGGTCAGCGCATTGACGTCCATGCTGCCCACATAGCACAAGCCCGTCAACTCATCGCCTGCAACCCGGCGCATGACTAGGATCATAATAGTCTTAACCGCAGGGATGGCCCACGCCACCAAGTGGAAGTAGCTGCTGTTGGCTTCAATGGCCTCGTGGCCCCATTTCTTCCCCGCGGCCAGGAACCAGGTCAAAGTCAGGATCACCCACCACAAGGAGCTGGCCATGCCGAAGTAGTAGAGGATCAGGAAGACCAAGGTACACCCCGTGCTCTCCAGACCTTCTTGAATGACGTAGAGTTGGCCACTGTCTCGGTTGCAGGCGATGTTTTCCGCCCCGGAAAAGAGGCGGACGATGTAGCCCACGGAGTAGACGCAGTAGCACATGGACAAGAAGATGATGGGCCTCTCGGGGTACTTGAAGCGCTGGGGGTCGATCAGGAAGGTCAGGACGGTGAAGGCGCTGGAGAAGAAGCAGAGGATGGACCAGACGGCCATCCAGATGACCGCAAACTGCTTGTCCTCCCAGCTCCAGTAGACGTCCACCCCGGAGGTGCAGAGAGGAGCGCAGAAACCGCTCTTCTCCACGTGGTGGAACTTCCCGGGATTCTCGCAGGAGAGCCGGCCCTGTCCGTCCTTCTGCTGGGTCAGGTCGTGACCCGCACTGTGGGGCCTCTGGGGCCAGAGCATGGGAGGGAGCATGCTGGATCCCCGGGGCGGTTCCTCGGAGCCGTTGCTGGGGGCTTCCATGCACAGATAGTTGGGGTCGTTTTTGTTGGGCAACTTGCTGCAATCCAGGGAGTCGGGCCACCTGAAGTTGAACTGCTCCATAATCGGGGAGCACTTGAGCCGGGCCTGCTCGCACATCACCCGGCAGGCCGGGATGGGCGTGGACACCTGCTCGGTGCACATGGGGGCGTAGAGGGAGCAGAGGAAGAATTTGAGGTGGCCGTGGCAGCCGTACTCCACCAGCGGGGCGAACTCGTGCAGTTGGATGGCCGCGTCCTGCTGGTCCTCGTGGCCCATTAAGTTGGGCATCCGGGTCATGTTGTACCCAATGTCTTTGCACATGGGGATCTCGATGGCTTGGCACCGGCCGTCCCCGGGACGGTCGCTATCGATGGAGCTGATGCCGAAACAGGAGCACACCAGATGCAGCACCACCCCCAGAGTCGGTCGGGAGCTTCGCCGCCGCCTGGAGCTCATGTTGGCCAACTCGGAAGCTGTCCCGGCGCTCCGCGGAACCCCCCTCCCCAAGCTCTGCTGGGGGCGACGGCGGAGGGGAGGACGCAGGAGGGGGTCAGATCACGGGCACCCCGGGCCTCCAGCTCCCCCCCGAAGCCCCCTTCAGAAAGGGCTCGATCCGCATCCGATCTGGCTCCATGGCAATCGTGGCGCCTTCGAATCCTACCTCAGAACAAAGTTTTCGAAAAGTCCAATCGCTTCCACCAAAAGCGCGGCGTTCCCACGCTCGTCCGGCTCCGCCGCCCGGGTTGGGGGTCTCAAGCTCCGTCGGGCCGGGGGAGAGGAAGCAGTCCGCTCCATGCACGGGGTGACTTACAGCCTTTAGCTCGGCATGCCGGGGGACCGTTTCCAAAACCTTCCACGCCGCCCTCGCTCGCCGGCAGCCGGGGAAGCTGGGTGCGAATTTTCCTAGTTCCTCTTCTCTGCAGATCCCGGGGGGGGGAGGGTGGTCGCTAGAGGGGATCCGCTGCCCTCGTGCTGGCCAGCTCCTTTGCTTTCCCGGACCGGCTGCGGGCAGGACCTCTCCAGCTGCTTCTGCTGAGCTTCTGCTCTGAGAAGTCGGGCACGCTCCGCTGACTTTGCGTCTCCGCCCCGCTCGGTTGGAGAAGGAGGGCTCGGCCAGGCTGGGTGGGTGGGGAAAGAGAGAGGGGAGGTCAGAGAGAAAGTGGCCAGCCGGAGGGAAGGGAGAGAGCCAGGGCCGCCTTTTGCGGCCGGGTCGCGGCGGAGCGCTGGGTGGCCAAGGCGCGCGTAAAAGCGCAGCGCCGTCTCCAAAAGCACTTGCTTTCTCCAGGGCGCGCGCTCGCCAAAAAGTAAGTCCAGGGCTTTGCAGCTGCTGAAGTCAGGAGAGAAGGGGAGGGGAGGGGAGGGGAGGGAGGGTTAGGAGGCGGCAGCAGCAGCAACAGATCGTGATGCGGAACCGCGCACGCGCACAGGTCCGGCCATATTCTCCCCCCCCCCCTCTTATTTCCCTCCCACCTTCCCCTGGGCTCCCGTCCGCCTCCTTTGCGCGCCTCTCTCGTTTTGCATGAGAAAAGAGGCGAAGCGGCTGTCCCTTTTGCGCCGGCACCTACGGGGCGCCTTGGAGCTGAAGAAAAGAAGCCGGGGTGGGGGTGAGGGAGGGGTGGGGGTAGAAGAGAAAGAAAACAAAAAAAGGGAGAAGCCCTTGATCGGCGCGCGTTCCCAAAGCTTCCCTCGTTTTCTCCTCCCCTTCTTCTGCCCTCTTTAAGGCTTTCTTAACTTTCTCCCTTGATCCTTTTCCCCCCCAGAATGTGTCCTGGGGTTATCCCTAAAGTGACTCGGTGGGCTGAGAATCTGGTCCCCATCACTCAGCGAGCCTCCATCTGGAACCCCCTGATCTGATCTGCCACATTTAGCCACCATCATCATCCCACCTTTGTTTCCAAGAAGCAGAAGTTCCTCCATGCCCCTTTTTGACTCATCCTCATGTCACTGTTAGAGGTTGCCAACCACGCAGATGAGAAATGATGGATTTTGCAACAGGGATTCTGGAACACAACGGTTTGAATCTCCTTGGTCAGCCTTGCCAGCTTTTAAGATGTGTGGAGTTCAACTCCCAGAGTTTCCCAGACAGCCTTGAAGGCAAATTTTGTGAATTCCCCATGGCTGGCTAGGGAATTCTGGGCGTTGAGGTCTGCCCTCTTGATGCACTCAATAATTCCTAGGGGTTTTTTTTCCCCCACATTTGATTTTGAAATGGTTTACCAGTAGAAGCTTGCTCTCCAATCCCCAAATCTCCTTTTAATTACATTTAATTAGGATTAAAATGACAGGACAATGACTCAACATCTGATAACCTCCAGCAAATGACACCCAATTTATTCCAGATCCTTTCCAAATGACAAGTTGGTGTCAACTTCTGGAGGCTAGAAATTGCAGCAACCTCTGGAGAATCAAACCTAAGGTATTTTAAGGCGGGTTGGGTTCATACTATATAGGCCTCTCCAGCTTCATCCCAGCTAACCCAACATCTCTTGTCGTTGCCTCTAACACCACAAAAACAGGATTGTAAAACCTCTTCACGATTCAACCTGGCCAGCCATTATTTCTGCACCGTGTAAAAAGGAAGCTTCTCTTGGAAATGTCTTGATTTCCAGAGCAAGAAAGAAAGAGGGACTTTTCAAAAGCGATTGTGTGTTTTGAATGCCTTTTATTGCCTGGGTAATAAAGGCCTGGCTCAAAAGCTCGTAAAAATTGAGTTTGCCTCTTGAGGTTTTGGGGGTCCATCTGGTTGTGAAGGGAAGCTTTGATGGCTTGCTGGAGAAGGGTTCATCCCAAACTTGATCCCCAAAAACGCTTTTTCACGAGGCAACTGGACTTTTTGTTTTCTTTGAAGACGTTTCGCTTCTCCTCCAAGAAGCTTCTTCAGCTCTGACTGGATGGTGGGGAAGGGAAACCTTCTAAGAAAAACAAGAACGTCCAGTGGCCTGGTGAAAAAGCGTCTTTGGGATAACTATGACCAGGATGACTGAGACTCTCCATTAAAATCCCAAACTTGGGCAATTAAACGTTAGAAGTCTAGGCCTTTTTGGGGAGAGCTAAAGAACTTAACAATAGGGAGAGAAAGTGAAAATTCCCTGAAAAGAGAGAGACAGAGAAATAGTGCATTTCTTCACCTGGGGCAGAGGGTCCCCAACCCCTGGACCGTGGGCCATTCATAACCGGGCCACGGAAATGGCAGGCGAGCACACGTGGGCGCATCCCCACTTGTGCGGGCAGTGGGCGATTGTGTGTGCATATGTGTGTGAAACTCCATTTACGTGTGTGGCGGGCTCGCACGCCTACCACTTGTGTAAATGGAGCTGCATGCATGTGTGCTTGCCTACCCCCTACACAGACTCATTCCTTCTGCCCCCCCCCCGTTGCCAAATCTTCAAAGCAAGAAAGCTTGGGGACTTAGGGGGAATGAGGAAATATAAACTGCATTTGGAAGGGAAAAAAAATCATGGAGGAAACGAATCATCGCAATTCATAAATAAGTCACACGGTTATTAAATAAATCTGGCTTCTCCATAGATTTACTTGTCGGAAGGTCGCGAAAGGGATCACGTGACCCCCGGGGCACGGCGACCGTGATAAATACGAGGCAGTTTGCCAAGCATCCGAATTTTGATCACGTGATCACGGGGAGGCTGCAATGGTCGTAAGGGTAAAAACTGATCACTTTTTGATCTGATCTGATCACTGTTGTAATCTCTCCTTTGTTGTATATATTTTATTAATTTCTGTAGGTTTAGGGTAAGGGTTGGTTTTTTGTTTTTTTTTTTAAAAAAATAACATTCTTAATCTTTAGCAAACACCATATTGTCTGGGTTCATGTATTTAAAAAACAAGAAGCCAGAGTGAATTTCTATATTATCTTAATACGTTAGTTAATCGCTCAATAGTTTTCTTCTTACTAATATATATTCAGTGTTACATAGTACATATCATGTTCCTTTCTCCCTAACTTCTGCCGTTGTAACTTTGAACGGTCCCTAAACAAACGGTTATTAAATCAAGGACTGCCTGTATTAAAAATGCAGCTAAACAGATCGTAGTTTTGCAGAATGTACGATTCTGGATTCTGAATCCCTGTGTACACGCAGTGGCTGTGTATATGTATGTGTGATTTCTATCTTTATTTTTGAATGGAGCTGGTTACATTCCTGGGCCATTGGTAGAGGTCTTAGCTACACACAGACACACCAATCTCTTTACGCGCTCCAAAGAGTTCAGACCTCTTTCTCTGATTCAGCATAAAGCTGCCCTGTCTGAAAGTGGATTAATAAAGAATTTCTATTCTCTCTGAAAGCAAGCTTGTTTTTCTTAGCATTTGTATGCACTGTAGCTCTTTCTATGCGCCACTCGGCTGGGGGGTTGTGGAAGACAAGAAAAAAAGAAGATTCATACAGAGGGAAATTGGGGTTCAAGTGACCTTTGGCTAAAAATGTCCTGGGCACTCCATTTTGCTTCTCTCACCATCAGAAATAAAGTTTTTAAAGAAACTCTAAAAGTTGGTGTGAAACTCCAGGATTTCCCTTCTTTTCCAAAATACGGCGGGTCCCTCGGTCCCGTTTGTCTTCACCTTGGCTGGGAGGGATGGGGTGGGTGAAGTGAAATATAAAACAGTCACAGGTAAACCTCAGAAACATCCTGGCTGATCTACCAAAGAGAAAATGGCACCCCCAACAATGACAGAGCAAATTACTGTCCATAAACAAAGATCAAACCCTACTTCCTTTCAGCACTGTAGAAGTTATCTCGATGGGTAGTGAGATGTCTGCACAAAAACAGCCAACCTTGAGCTGCAGACACTCTCTTCTATTCAAAAAATATTTTCTGATTAATATTATTTTTAAAACCTAAATGTCTCATGTTTATATGTATAAACTAACTGTCCTTTTAATGGATGAATGAGTAAATTAAATGGATTTGTTATAAAAAAAAAAAAAGAAACATCCTACCTGTTAATGGACCTGACCTCTCATGTGGAAGTGAAGGGTTTTCATCCACTTTGGATAATTTGCTAATCCCTGTTTTACTTACTTTGTTTTTCTTTCTTTTTTTTTTTTTTAAAAAAAAAGGTGGTGATGGGAATTAAAACAGCTGCTTTCTTGACTTAGCTTTCATTGTAGCATGGATGCTTTCAAGTAGAGGGTTGGAGGGAAAAGACGGAAGGAAGGAAGGAAGGAAGGAAGGAAGGAAGGAAGGAAGGAAGGAGATAAAGCAAGAAAGAGCAAGAAGGAAGCAAAGGAAGGGAGGGAGGGAGAAGAGAAGGAAGGAAAGAAAGCATAAAGAAAGCAAGGAAGAGGGAAGGAAGGACAGAAAGAAGAAAAGGAAAGGGGAAAAAAGAAGAAAGAAGAAAAAGAAAGACAGACAGAAAAAGAAAAGAAATAAAAAGGAAGCAAGAAAGAGAAAGAAAAAGAAAGGAAGGAGGCAAGGAAGGAAGGATAGATACAGAAAGCAAGAAAGAGAAGCAAAGGAAGAAGGACAGAAAGAAGGGAAGGAAGGAAGGAAAAAAAGCACAAAGCAAGAAAGACAAGGAAGGAAGGACAGACAGAAGGAAAGGAAAGGAAAAAAGGAGAAACAAGAAAAAGAAAAGAAAGAGAAAGAGAGAAAAAGAGGAAGGAGGCGAGGAAGGAAGGATAGATAAAGAAAGCAAGAAAGAGAAGCAAAGGAAGAAGGACAGAAAGAAAGAAGGAAGGAAGCAAGGAAAGGAAGGGAAGCAGATCTAAAAGAAAAGGAAGATCATCCACTGGAAAAGCAGCAACAAATAAAAAGGCCCTTGTAATGGCTGCTGCCGAAGAAAATATATTTTATATATGTTATTTCTTTAAAAAGATCTTTCACACTCCCGGCCAATGAGTATCATGTGGCACAGTGGGCACCCCCGCTGGGAGGCTTTTTCTGGCCTTGGCCTCCCCCCCCCAAGACCCCCCCTCCCCTCCGGCCAAATGTTATATAGAGAACCGAGAGAGAGAGAGAGAGAGAGAGAGAGAGAGAGAGAGAG